GTTTGAAATGCATAGTACATTTTTGTTATCTATATTAACACTATAGAATGTTTTGTTCCTGTCTAACCATGACTTAGTGCACTTTGGTCATCCTTTCCCCATCCCTACTACTTTCTCAGACTTTCTCAGGTACTATCAACTTTTATGACATCAACATCTTTATATTCTACCAAAGAATGAGTTCATGCATAACTTGTAGTTCTGTGCCTGATTTATTTCAATTATTACCACAATAAGGTAAAACACCACTCAAGTAAGAATGGCTATTATCAAAATGACTATAGATAATGAGTGCTGGTGAGGATGTAGGGAAAGGAAACACTTGTATATTGTTGGTAGTAATATATATTTCTAGACTGTTATGAAAAAAGTAGGGAGGTTACTAAAAAATATAAAAATAAAACTACCACATAATCCAGCAATCCTATGATGTGATATACTCCCCCAAATTAAACCAGTATGTCAATGAGATATCTATACTCCAATGTTCATTCCAACACGATTAATAATAGCCAAGAAGTAGAAATGACCAAATGACCATAACTGATTAATGGTAAAGAAAATGAAATATAAATACACAACGGGATATTATTTAGCAATAAAACATAGGTATTTAAAAATACATACTGATTATCCTGAACAGTTATCGAGTTGTAGACAGTAGTTTGGATTAGAGCAACAACTGGTTAATTATTGTTTACATTACTTGTGCCATTAAGAGTTATGAGATCTGAATCTGTCTTGTCCAGGGGGGCCAATATGAATGTTCCCAATTTTCTTGCTGAAACTCAATTAAATAGCTACTCCTAACATCTTTTACAAGAGTTTCATTTATAGAACATGATCAATTAAGAGACCCCTACATATGAAACCATACAGCCACAGGTGGCTCTACTGTGATTTCTTTCTTCCTGTGCCTTGGCTTATTAGAAGGGGTGATAGAATGCATTGATCATGCAAGGAGTAGAGAAGTGTGTGGTGAAGTTGGAGGAGGAAAAGAATTCATAGAGAAATGGTGATATGGAAATGGTTTGTTAACCTTCCTTTGTTACAATAACTATAAATTAAAAGGAAATACTAACTCTTACAAAAAATTGAAAACACAGAGGAGAAAAAAGAATCACCCAAATCATAACTATATTTTATAGTTTATTTTGAAAAACCTAAGACAGATTAGTCATAATATATAAAATGCCAAAGATCACTTCATGGTTTTGTTAGATATTCATATTTCTTCTTAAATAATAGAACTGTTTTTGTTGCTTTTATTTCTTTTTTTAAAACAGGGCCTTTCTGTATACCACAATCTGGACTCAAACTCAAGAACCAATTCAAACTCAGCCTCAGGAGTGATAGAATTACAAGTCTGTGCCACCACACCCAGCTTAAACTGCAGAGTTAAAAATATGTGGTAATTAACACTTATGCTTACATTCTACATATTGTGTCAATTATTGTCCTAGAGAAAGACATCATGTAGAAACTTTCCTTTGGCCTATATGTAGATTTCTCAGCCCTGGGATACAAACACTTCCCACTGTAATGCTGTCATTAGGCTCCTTCCTCTCATCCTTCTCCCTTCCACCTCTCCTTCCTTCAGTGCTTTCTCACTGGATTTTTATATTCTTCCCTATAAAATTTTCTCTTTTCAAATATAGTCATGTTCACACATTCTTTAAGAAGTATGCTAACATTTTTTCTCTGGGTTCCCAGCTTTTTCATATCTTTACTACTCATAAGTTATTGTGCATATGTCTGTGTGTCTTTGTTTATATCTCTATATTTTATTTTCAGTTAGCAACAAACTAACTGCAAGTAAATAAATAAAAGTTGTTTTTCCCATAAGCATTTCTAATTGAGGCTAAAGAAAATAAGTCAGATGGAGACAGACAAATATCTCAAATTATCTCTCATATGAAGAATCTAACCTAAAAAAAAATGACATGCACGTAAAACAGAGACTGGGTTGAGAACAAGGATGTGCAGGGCAGGCAAAAAGAGAAGGTGAATAAAATCAAAGTACGTCAAGAACAAGTATGAAATTAAAATTCTGAAACTCATTAAAATTGCATTAAAAGGGGGATGGAGGATAAGAAAGATTGGTAGAGGGGATGAAAATCAGACTACAGTATTTGTATGTATGGAAACATCACTGTAAAACAACTTTGTGCAATTAATATATGCTAATACATTTTTAAAATTCCAATCACTTAAATCACTTACTATATTTGATATTCTTCCTTTTATATTTTCATCCATATGTAAGATTATTGGAATTACAACTGTAATGTTTCTTATCATAACATAAATGGAAACAACTTGAAATGCTGAGGGAAGTGGCTTCTTTTTTGCTGGAACTCAGGACCTCTTGCTTGCTGGACAGGCACTCTAACACTTGAGCCACTCACTCTGCCAGCCAGACTTATTTCTTTAAAAAATTCATTTGTTTAGTGGAAACTGTCTTCTCTAGATAGTTTAGGCAATTCTTCTACTATCATTTACTCAGATTTCAGTGTAGAATAAAAGAGAATTTGATGTTGTTTTTCTTATAAAAAGGTAAATAATTGGGATGAAATATAAAGTTATTTTTTACTTTGTTTTGGTAGCACATGATCATGGAAAAAGTTCAAACTTACAGAACAATTACAAAAAGTAGCACAGAGACCTACCATGTAGTTAATTCAAACTGAGCATTTGTAGACATTGTCCCTGGGAAACTTTGTTCTGTCATCTAACTTCCTATCTCTCTATTTTTCAATCATCTATCTGTCTGTTTATCTATCATCTATCTATCTATCTGTCTATCTGTCTATCTATCTATCTATCTAATCTATGATCTAATCTTATCTATTTATTTATCATCTATCTAATCTATCACCTATTTAATCTATAATCTAATCCTATCTATCTATCATCTACCTAACTATCTTCATTATCATCTATCTATCATTGCCCGTTTGATCTGGCATCATTCTATCTATCCATTGTTTCCTGGACCTTTTAAGAGTGAGTTGGGATGAAACGGTATTCTTTAATTCTTGATATTTCACTTCTTATTTTCTAAGGGCAACGATAATATTTTACATTAGCAATTTGCAGTTTTTTATATAAACTCTGTACATCTACCAAAATTAGCAAATTTAAGAGAGATAGAATATTATCAACCCAACAGTCTAAATTCATATCTCCATTTGTATCAATAATTTTGTTAACAACTTTTTTTTTGCATGTTTAGATATTATGCTTCATTGATTTCCCTTAATCTGGACCACTTCCTCAGTCTTCATTTGTCTTTATGGATCTTGATGATTTGAAGACTATAGGGAAGTCCTATAGCCACAACTTGAGTTTGCCTCATGTTTCTTCGTATTTGAATTAAGCTACATATTTTTGCCAGGAATTTCACTTTAGAGACACCACATTCTCTTCAGAGTATCACATCAACAGTCATATTAAGTTGATTTATATCTAAACTGGAGGTGTTGACACTTATCACTTGATTATGCTGGTGTCTACCACATTCTTCATCTATTTTCCTATTTTTTTATCTTAAAATTAAAAATTTGTGGTGAGGCAGTTTAGATTATGTAAATAATCTAATCCTTCAAAATTTCATACCCATTTATGGCTTTTTAATCCCACTATACTTTTCATACTTATTAAATATTAGTATGTGGGATAGTTTTCTAACCACCAGTCATTGATTTTTAAAAATTTTTTTAATTTTGATATGAGGTTGAAGAATTTTATGTTCTTTAGCTGATTATGTAATACTTTTTTCTTAAGGCTCAAATTTTCTTAGAATGGAAAATTTAAAATTGACATTAGAATCTTTTGTATAGCAGTCTATGATTTTTTTGGACATTTTCTTACTTTCATTTTTTGTGAATTTTTTTCCTCAAAGACAAAAAAATGATGGAAAATATAAACAGTACTTCTCAAGACTACTTCATTCTACTAGGTTTTTCTAAATGGCCTCAGCTGGAAGAAGTTTTCTTTGTAGTAATATTGATATTCTACTTGATGACACTGATAGGCAACCTTTTCATCATCATCCTGTCACACCTGGACTCCCACCTCCACACTCCCATGTACTTCTTCCTCTCCAACCTCTCTCTTCTGGATCTCTTCTATACCACCAGCTCCATCCCCCAGTTGCTGGTCAACCTCTGGGGCCCAGAGAAGACCATTTCTTATACTGGCTGCATGATTCAACTCTACTTTGTCCTTGCACTGGGAGGCACAGAGTGTGTCCTATTGCTGGTGATGTCCTATGACTGCTATGCTGCTGTGTGCAGACCCTTGCGTTACACTGTCCTCATGCACCCTCGTTTCTGCCACTTGTTGGCTGTCACTTCTTGGCTATGTGGTTTTACCAACTCAGCACTTCATTCTCTCTTTACCTTCTTGGTACCACCTGTGGGCATTACCAAGTGGCTCACTTCTTCTGTGACGTTCCAGCATTGCTGCAATTATCATGTGTTGATACTCATGCTAATGAGCTAACTTTGCTGGTCACGACCTCTATTTTTGTTCTCATTCCACTTGTCCTCATTCTGACATCCTATGGAGCTATTACATGGACTGTGCTGAAGATGCAATCAACCAGTGGATATCAGAAAGCATTTGGGACATGTAGAGCCCACCTTTTGGTTGTGTCCCTCTTTTATGTCCCTGCCATGTGCACGTATTTTCAGCCAGCAACAGAAAATTCTCAAGATAGAGGCAAGTTCATTGCCCTCTTTTATACTGTTGTCACACCTACCCTCAATCCTCTAATCTACACCCTCAGAAACAAAGATTTTAGAGAGGCAGTAAGGAGGCATATGGGGTGAGAGTAACCTATGTACTTGTGACATTAAAAGTATAAGGTGCATCTCTTCACCAGTGGTTCATCAGTCCTTTCATTCATCAACCACTCTTTCTCTCACTCTATCAATTTTGTTGTTCACATATGCTCATGATTTTCCAAAGTTCTTTCTAACAGATATAAATAAATTACAGTCTGCCTAAATACTATGATGTTGTGGAGAACTCAGCCATTTAAATTCAACATCAAATACCAAAAGTTTTTTTTTTCCACTTCACAATCCTAATTAATTCAAATCCTTTTCCTATTTGAGAATGAGGTAAGGATTTGTTGTAAGTGTAGGTAATAGAGCAGGGTATAAGTCCTATGGAAAGAAAAAACTTCTATTTAAAATGTTTAGTGTGCCATTTGTGTTTATTTATTTATGGGTTTGTATTTTATTGGGCTTATTTAATGATATAGTGAAATTCCTGAAATATTTGTCTCTAATACTGTTATCCTTTTCTCAATAGTAAATATTAGGATTTTTGTTCCATAATCTTTCATAGTCCATTATTGATATAAAAATTTAATTTTATGAATTGTAGCAAAACTTCTATGAAAAAGGCAGAAGTGGTCATCTTTTCCCCCTTTTTTTTTTGCAAGGCATTAAGTAATGTGTAGTATAGAGAATGGAAGTAACTTAGAAATTCTGACAGGAGAATTGTTAAGCAGTATTCATCACAACATCCATCTAATTATGGAAAGTAAATGCTTGGAGCACCTGCATACACTAGGAAACTGTAGAGAATACATAAGGGAGATGGACAACAAGACCCCAAAATGATGTGAACTCAATGAGTTTTTGAAAGAATTACTTGAATATATATTGTAAAAAAGATTGTGCTCAAGACTGTTACATGTGAAATGAGTGCTCTTTTTAAACTTGTTGTATTTTGAATATTTGTAAGTAATAACTTCATCTTAAAAATCAACTGAAAAATTTTTTGATAAGATGCTTTTTTATAATATGAATAATTTTGTCATTTATGTCATCATCAATTTCCTCCATTTAAAATAAGTGAAATATATGCTACCCTTAATCATATCAACTGCAGTAGAATAATGAGTAAAGGAAAATTCAAGACAAAATAACATCACAGCACTGGTGAATTTTATCTGTTATTTTAAATTTAAGCCAAATGTCAGTTGCATCTTTTGAAAACTTTAGGTTTTAGTATGATTGATTCAAATGCTCATTTTACATTATAAAATAAGCCAATACCCAAAATTTCACCACAAATCCTTGTTTGTCCTACAATTACATTGGTTCTGCAGAATTTGCCCTTTTGTTGTGTCTGTGACTGTTCCTTTACCTACAGCCAAGCATGAACAACAGAATGGGGTTTGTTCCTTTGCTGTTTCCTAATACTAAACAAATGAAGAACCAAGAAATGTTTATATAAAAGAACTTTTAAAATAATTAAACATAATAGAGCAAACAGCACATAAATACAAACTTTTTAAAACACAGAAAATATTGTTCAGTACTTTGAGTGGTCTTTCAGTGTGCAAATCTTACTGCTATCTTTTATTACCTAATTTTTTCTTGAAGTTTTATTAAGGTATAGTTGAGGAAATACATGGTCTCTTAAAGTCTGCAGAAGGATGCAGCTTTGTGGATCCAATTTAGGTTTCTAATCCTAATATAAGAAATATAAGACAACATTTTTTTTAAAACACTGAATTGGTAGAAATTTGTTTAGCACTAATAGAAAACTAATCTAATTGGTATTCTCTTGTGGGAATGACCAGGGGAACAAAGTCACCAAGACCATTTGTTCAGGAAGCAGGGAGTTTATTACTAGCAGACTCAGGGGAAATAATTTCTCAAAGCCCTGAGCCCCGATCTGTGTCAGGGGCTTGGTTAAATATTTACAGAGTTTGCCCTTATCCCCCCTTACTAACCCACCTTGTAGTATGTGGTTACAGTTGCCAGAAACTTTGCAAGGTTGGCAGGTGGCTGCAGTGCTGCAGAGCTAGCAGAAAGCTGCTTGCAGACTCAGAGTGGGGAAACCAAGGTGAATTCCAGACACAGTAAATCCCAGGAAAAAAGCCAAGCTGGCCCCAACACTGTCATAAGACATAACTTTCATTTTTATAATATGTTTTCATATTCATGGATCATAACTGTGTTTGTGTGTATGCCCACATGTTCATGTAACACATGTATGTTAAAGACTCTTGATGAAAGGCCAAGGTGACTGGATATTAAATGTAGTTAGTGTTCACTGTGTTTGAAAACAAATAGACATTTTTTAACATTTTCATTAGCATATAATAGTTGTACAAGGGGTTTTCTTGTTACATTTCCATATATGTGGGCAGTGTATGCCAGTTTGGTTCATCTCTTCCATTTTTCTTCCTCTTAGAAAAAGACACATGGGAGATTTCAAGATGGTGATAGCTGAGGGACACAGAAACCAGGAGCTCCATAATATCAGAAAAATACTTCAGAGTCATGGTAGCAAAAATCAGGTAATTCTGAAGCAAAACATAGGGCACACACAAAGTTCAGTGACTGACCTTATAGCTTTTAATTGCACACAACAGCCAAGAAAGGCCCCATGTGGGCTGGGACCAGCACAGCCTCCAGTTTGCCTGGGGGAAAGAAGTTTTTCCCTTTGTTTTCTCTCTTCTCACATCCTCTTTTCCGTTTGGAAAAAGGAGAGTACTGCAAAACAAATTGAGCTAAAATTGGCCATGTCTGGATCCTGTATTATGCAGACACAGAACCATGAACTCCAGCCTACCTGTGCCTCACCACGGCTGACCCAATTCCACTAGAGTGAATCTACAACAGCATCAGATGAGCAGAACAGATCACCCACCCTTGAGGGAATCACATAGTCTAGAGCAACTTTTGGGCAGATTGCACCCCCCTGAACAAAACTGGTCGCCACAGACAGAGGGTACAATTCACTTCTGCCTGGCATGCTGGGGCTAAATGCTGAGCTGACCTCCAGGAGTTGGGGAAGGTTGGAATGTTGAGCTTAATGCAGGAGTGGGGGCAGGGTACAACCCTGAGCTGTTTTAGCACATTGGGGGTGGGATGTAGTGCTGAGTTGCCAGAGACTAAGTGGCAGTGGAGCAATGTAGCTACTGCCTGGTGAAATCAGCAACATATTTGACCATCTTGTAGAATCTAGTAGCAAGCTGAAAAGTAAACTATCAAAAAGCAATTTCAGCTTGCCCTGTGGGCAAAAGGAACCTGCAACTGCTCATAAGCCACTTCTTGGCAGGACCACTTTAGAGAACCTGCCTCCATCAGAACCCACGGAGGAAAACCTGAGCTCATATATCCTGAGCCAACTCCCCTCAAAGCTGTCCATTAAGGAGGGGCAACACCCATTGCCACACAGCTGAGTATACCAACCTTGAGAGGCACCAGAGACACTGAGAAAGCCCATCCAGCACCTGGATTTGAAGTCAGAGGAAAATGTCCAGAACTTTCAGCGAACTGATTTTTTGTTCCATTTTTATTTAATATTTTATTGTTTATCTTTATTTTAACTTTCTTCACTTCTTTCCTCTTTTTTTTTGTGGTACAATCTGTTATTACCTATCTCCTTCCTCTCTATCCAAATATCGATCTTGCTTTACCCTCTCTTGCCCCACTATCCTTTCTCTCCCTTAACTTTTTTCTTCTCTTTTCTTCCATTCTCTCCTCCTTTTTTCACCTTTCCCTCCTCTTCTCTCCTCACCTTTCACCCCATTTCCACCTCCTCCACACTCAACACATGCTGTATAGTCTACTATATCAACTTTACATGTTATCCCCATCCTTCTCTCCCTCTGCAATCCCTGACAAAAGCACCCTCCCTCACAACAACTGAACTACACCTTAACACACCTTAAGGCCTTATTATACTATAGCCTCCACACCTCACACTCTTTCAGCCTTTTACCCCATTCCCCTTTCAGCTCCCTCCTCTAGTGCCATTTTTTAAATTACCTAAGTATCTGTCTTTATCCAAACAGCTGTTATCCCTCCAGCACCCACTTGTTTATAGATAGTATTACTAAGTGGTTTTCTATATATTATGTAAATAACTGCTCTGGCTTTGAATCTGTAAATTTGTTTTTGCTAAATAATATCTCCAGGCTAGGGAACAGAAGTAGTACAACAACTTACTAACAACTAAGCCAGTCACAGCATAGAAATTAAGTCAAGGGAATGATAACAGGTAATTAAAACCCCAAACTAGCTAATTAACAACAAAAGAGCAAAGCACAAAATAGAAACATGGGGAGAAGAAGAAGGCAGGGAAATCCAACTCCTCAAAAAAGAATAACAATGACTCAATAGAGACTTTGGTAGAAAGTGAAGGAAATGAATTCTCAGTTGCTGACTCAAGTAGAATGATGATAATAATGTTCAATGAGCTTAAAGAGGAACTTAAAAAGGAGCTTAAAGAGAAATACAGAAGCAACTCAAAGAATATCAAGAGAACACAGAAAAAAAACAAAAAACTTGAGAAGACACAGAAATAACTAAATGAACTCAGAGAGGATTTCAACAAACTACAAAATTAAATAAAGGAGATTATTAAAAAAGAGATATATGACATAAACAAAATGATACACGATATGAAAGAGAGTTTAATAAAGATATTGAAAGTCACAGAATAAAGAAAAAGAATCAAACAGAAATCTTGGAAATAAAAAGTAACCTAAATCAAATAAAAAATACAGTTAAAAGCCATGCCAACAGACAAGAACAAACAGAAAACAGAGTTTTATGACTTAAAGAAAAAATAGATATTAAAGGAAAAAAACAGAAGAATGCTCAGGCAAAAGACTCAAGAGCTGTGAAAGGAATAAGCAAGAACTATGTGATTCCATCAAAAGACAAAACCTGTGAATCATGGATGTTGAAGAAGTGTTGCAAACCATAGGTATAGATAATATATTCAACAAAGTAATAGCAGAAAATTCTTCAAATTTTGAGAAAGAGATGCCCATTCAGGTACAGGAAGCTTCCAG